ATACCGATACCGATAACTTCCTGCTTCTCAAGACCGATACCGATAACCGATAATAATATAATATATATTAAATGTACCTGTAGTTTTTTCCTCGTTTTAGCCCTGGGGTCATCTCTGTCAAACTTCTTGCCTTTTTCAAAAGCCTCGTCGATAGGTAAAAGCCCCGGTGCCTTTGCAGCTGGCTTTGGATTCGCCGCTAGTTTAGCAGCGCAGGCGTCTTCGTACGCTTTTAACACACCATCGTAGCGATGGCGATGTTAAAGGTGACTAATCAGGTTGGAAGTATTATAGCTCGTTGCCTTTCTCCCTCCTCGTGGAACTTCTGCATTGCATTTGTTAATACAAATAGCAAGCGAACTATCTAACTCTGAAACTTTGAAATAGTCCCATACTACCGACGACATGTTTGTTTACTGTCCTGGCTTCACGGCCGCACACCATTTACGTCACAGACAGGCATGAGTTAGGGAGCGCTGGATTTGTGAAAAACTCCCCTCTTCCTAAACCACTAATACCACAGTACTGGCAAAACGGGAGGAGCCGAGTGAAAAACAAGCGCCCCTCATCCCAATCCACCCACACCGCAGTATTTTTTTACCCAAAAATATATTGTATATTATCGGGGCTATTAATACTTTTATCGGGTTTATCGGGATTAGAGATGTCCCGATCCGATCACGTGATCGAGGATTGGAGCCGATCACCTGATTTTCAAAAGATCGGAATCGGGAGAAAAAAAATCGGGGATCGGGATTTTTTTTTTTTTTTTTATAAATACTTTTTTTTAATTTTGTATTCAATGTTACAAAACAAAAATGACCATGTTCAAGTCTTAAAGTCTTCCTGAGGCCTTAGTTTTGGTTTCAAATTACACAACATCATGTATGTGTTGCTTCTTTGGGGCTTGTTTTCATAGACCTGGTTGCTTATTTCTCTCAAATCTGGCAACAGAGTGGGCGCAGTGTCTAATTGTAGCAGTAAGCCAACGAGTACTGAAAGCTTTATTTTGTTTTGATCCAATGCTGCACAACTGAACTGATCCAATGCTGCTGTGAAAGAAAGAAGCTATATCCATGTTGGATAGAATATCCAATTTAAATAAAAAAATAACCTTAAGGGACAACTTGAATGCTTTTTTTTTTTCCTCTTAATGCATTGCATAAAGATCGGATCGGGAAAGATCAGTATCGGCAAAATCAAATGATCGGAAGCAAAAAAAGGTGATCGGGACATCCCTACTTTTATAGTTCTTGTTTGTGTTACATTCCCTTTCCTTCAATCTCCACCTTTTCTTTCTCTGTGCATGGTCTCATTCCTCTCCTCTCTTCCGCCATATTCCTCCCCAATCTTTTCTCCCCTTTTCCTTTGTCCTTGACACCTTTCTACCTTCCTCCTCCTCCTCATCACCCTCCTCTTCCTCCTCCTGACTCCCACTTCCTCGTCAGATCAAAGAAAGTTAAGTAGGGCAGTGACTGTGGTGGGCGTCAAAGGGCTTAAGGTGTGTGTGTGTGTGTGTCGTTATTTCTGCAGATTATTAGAGAATGTATGTTGGTTAACATTAGCACTGTGTGGGTGGATGATGTGTGTTAACATATTTCCATCTGTTGACACACACTCAGGTTAAATTACACATAATGATTCCCTAGTTTTTTACTCGTATTGTTATATTTTCCAACAGAAATCATGTATTATGCCCTTTTTTTTAACCAAATGTTTCAATAAGAAAAGACTCATTTAGGAACAAGTAGGAGAAATCTATTGGGTCAGTCATAAGCCACTATCAGAAACAGGAAGCAGAAGTACAAATAAAGCAAAGTGGACGTATATAAATAAACTAAACAGAAAAGCAAAGTGGGTAAGTGTTTTTCCCACTCTGAATACCACATGTGAACGTTTACCTTTTGAGAGTAAACTCAAGGTTCCTACGCACACAAACACTGCAGCCTCCTGGAACATTTTAATGATACCACACAGGTTTAGACTTCAACTATGTAAATAACTTTTTCCGTCTGTTGTATGCCACTTAAAACTACATTACCCATGAGCCACTTGGGTCATGAACTACCAGAGTTATGTCCAGAATCCTTCCTAAGACTTTTAAGTTGCAAAATTATTATTTATGTTACAGGAATGTACTTTGGGACTTGTAGCTGAGTTGTCTGCCAAAGTTTTTTACGCAGATTTATACTTTTACATGTTTTTCCCACCTAGAAACAAACTATTTTGTTGTCAAATGTGCCGTCCACTGTATGCATTTACCTTTTAACACCTTTGCCTTGTTATAAAACACTCAACAAACTCAATAAAAGTTGTGTTGGCAATATAAAACCGACACTTATTAATAAAACAATTTGTTCTCTTGTATAAATATCTTGGATAATCCTCAGTTCCTAACATTTGTCTTGCTTTTTTTTAGCTTCCTATTAATTGAAGTAAGATTGCCCTTATGTATCATTTTAGGCTGTATCCAATACCAACCTGCATCATAACACCCTCACATGTTAACACACACCACTTTTTTTTTTTACGCTGCTACGGATAGTCTTGCACGGTACATTCTCAAAGATATTGAGGTGACTGTTATTTTGTACCTATTGATTGTTGTGCTTTGATTTAGGTCTTAATGTGTGCATGTGTATAAAGGTGTCTGTTGATTGGTATATACATATTTTTATATACATCTTTGTTGTTGTATTCCGGATTATGGAAAACGATCTCTCTGTCTGTATACATTTGACCGATTGCCTCACCGTTCTCCTGGAAGTCGACCTTGACCTTGTTGGACTCAGCGCTGGTGGCTCTGGTCCAGGTGTGGCCCGGCTGCTGCTTGGTCCAGGCCGTGATGTCGCACCAGTAGAAACCTCGGTCGGACAGCTGGACCCCCGCCAGGCGAAACCGAAACTCTGCCGGACCCGACTTAGTCAGAACCAGACTGTCTCTGAGGGGACGGAGACACACAGGGGGGTCAATACATTTCAAAATATAGAGATTCAAGGCCATTATTGTCATTCGTAGAGGAATGTTATATATATAGATATTTAATATAACCTAGACTCCAGCATAAATAACCAAAACTCCAGCAATAAAACAACATACATAGAACTTACATTTTGTTTACATTGTAATACAATTATAACAAAAGAAGTGCATTATAGACAGGGCTTCTGTAGTCCAGATGTGTTAATGTACCTCCGGTTGGGGTCCGTGGCCCCTCCGTGCTGCAGGACGTTGTCGGGGCTGAGGGTCATGATGGTCCTCACAGCGCCCTCCAGACTGTCCTGTGATTGGACGAGCACCGAGTAGCCCGCCTCCCCGAGGTTCTCTGTTGCCACGGCGCAGCTCATCTCAAAAGTAGCCCCGCCCACCGAGGCTTCACGGAGCCGTTTGGCCACGACGTTCAGAGTGGGACCTGAAAACAAGACAACTCTATAATCAATCGAGCCTTCAGAGGGTCCGACGGGGGGAAACCCCGACAGGAAGTCATGAGCAATTACACTATGATCTTCTGATTCAACACACACACGCAGTACTGCAGTTACATCATGCAACAATTAGCTAAATTGAGGTCACCAAGGTCAGAAAGTGAGGCAGAGAATGGAGAGGAAGTGTGTGAGAGTGAGACAAGAGGCCTGCTGTTATGCTGAGGGGTTTACTATGAAGTCTGGAAATGGTAAGGAGACATTAGAGCTTATTCATAAAACCCAACAGCAGGCGTACTGTGATCGGCTGGAAGTGTGTTAGTGTTTTATGTGGGGTAATGCTTCTAAAAGGAACTTCATTAAGTCAAAATGTGTATTCTTTGTGGGCCAGATCAAAAAATCTAGGTTAAAGCAACGACTCAATGATTCTGAGTTGAACCCAGCAGACAGGAGGAAGTTCAGGACAGAACCATGGTGGATATTAAAGAGTTTCCTCACGTTTGGTGTCCCATCGTACAGCGAGAGGTGCACTCTGAGCCTCTCCGGTGTTCATCATGTCGCCCTGGCTGCTCACGCTCCACGCTGACACCGTGCAGACATACTGGCCCATATCGATCTCCTACAGGAAGGGAAAGGAGTCAGTGATCTACATCAGAATAATAACTTGTTCGGAAAATATCACTGGTCCCCGGCTTGAGCTTCAATCTCAGGATCCATGTATCTGTGATCCTCTCCAGAATGGAAGTCACACACAGAGCATCAACTAGTTCCTGAACAGTGTCCTTCACATGCTGATATCCAAGAGAGGGAGTTACACAGTCACAAGATGGAGGAATAGAAAGCAGTCTTCAATGTTTACTTCAGATTAGCCATGTATTGATTATCCTCTCAAGAATGGAAGAAGAATTTGTTGTTATTTTTCTCAAAAATTCAGACTTTCTCAAAATCTAAAAACTTGGACATTTTCATCAAAATTCTAACTTTTTCATCAAAATTCTGACTTTCTCTCAAAGATCTCACAATTCTGACTGTTTCTAACAATTCTGAATTTTTCACAAAATTCTGACTTATTCACCAAATTCTCAAAAATCTGAATTTTTCTCAAAAATCAAAAAATGTTGACTTTTTCACAAAATCTAAACATTCAGACTTTTTTCAAAACAATTCAACTTTTTCTCCAAAATCTCAAAATTCTGACTTTTTCTCAAAATTCTGACTTTTTCAGTCACTAGATGGAGGAATAGGAAGCAGTATTCAATGTTTACTTCAGATTAGCTCCACGTCAGAAATGAGCATGCTTGTCATATGTCTCTCTCCATAGAGGCTGAATCATCATGTTAATCACATAGCTATCATATGCCTCAAACAGTCCTGATGCTCTTCTAGGTAATCACACATCCTGTCATGTTCACAGCTACAGTTGGGATACCGTTGTTATCATGTTACTCTGATATTGGACGAGGACATTCAGTATTTTCCCAACATAACTCAACCAGAGGAACACAGGCTTCTGATAGTCTCCGTTTTTCGCTTAAATCCCTCTCGATGTTTACCTGTGTTCGGAGGAATCGCAGTTTGAACGTGTCGGGCTGGACTCTGGTCAGTGACATCACGCCGCTCTTCAGCCTATCAGAATACATCGCTCCAGGCATCAGGTTGCCATAGCCATCCAGAGAGCCAATGGAATTAGAGGTCTGAGGACCGCCCACTAAACCTGCGTGTGATTGGACGAGAGAGGTTATTTGTGGTCTTTTAATGATTCTGAGATACGTTTTTGAATGCTGTGTTGAGGTAAAAGTACCAGGAAGTGTGGTGTGACCCCAAGTGACCCCCAGGCGACCACCCAGGGGCAGATGGGTAATGTTGGTCACATGACACGCCAGCTCTGTGGGTTCAGCCGTCATCTGGGGATTCGAGATGGCCACAAGGGTCACCGTGAAGCTGGGTTCTGAGGAGACAAACATTTAAAAGCTTTTAACGACATTAGATGGTTAAATATTGGTTAATTATTGCAGCAACTCGATCCTTATTTAAATAAAAACAGGAGGAGATGAAGTGGTGGCAAGCAGCTGCTGAATGCGTGACACCCTGAGACATTTGTTAGTCCCGGCAAACACACCTCAAAACATTCAAGGCATAAACAATGACACAAAAGCCCAACCCTAATCCTTTGTGAAACCCTAGAACTGCGGCTGAAAGGAAGGATATTGTGCTTCTACAAAGTGAAACAACTTTAGAGCTCAGCTGTCTCCACGATAACACGCAGCCACTTAAGTTTTACAACCACTGGTCCCCTCCAAAACGTATAGAAGGGTACATACGTCTAGTATTCAAGTATCACTACAGGGAAGTTGATATTATTCTTAGTTTTCAAAATACCTCGAGGGAGAAAGTCAACCCTAATGATCCCATATATCAATTTACAGTGCTGCGCTGCCTCAAGAGAAATAATTCCCACCGCAGAGAGGGCGTTTCTTTCATCCATCATCCCAGGTTCTGTCATTTTACAACAACAGAGCCTCCAAGAAAAAATGCTAAGTTAATTCTGTTCTGTTTTTTGTGTGGTTTGGTCTTAAAATAGAACTCAGCGTTAGAGCCAGACAAATCTGTAACAACACTGTTGACTGTGTGAGGTCTGTGTGTGTGTGTGAGAGAGAGAGAGAGAGAGAGAGAGAGAGAGAGAGAGCTGCTTGGTTGCAATACTGTAGTTTATGCAACGTAGGCCTATAAATTGTTTATGTAACTTATGTGCCAGTGTGTCCATGGTTTTGAGTCTGTGTGTTGAGCGCAGCGCCGTCTGCTTTTTGCAGTACAGTAACTAAAGTAGGACTAAGCATACCGGTAGTTTCTGTGGACCTGTCTGCCCGTT